GAAGTTCTTTAGAATCAATCTTCCTTACCGAATATTAATCTAACCGACCTTACCCTTTGCGCTCAACGTGAAGCCATATCTATGTCGTACAAATTGATGATACTTCGCAAACAAGCTCGATATCGTTTTTTGAATTTTCAGTGAATTCCTGCGAAATGGGATCCAAGTCATTAAAATGACAAGGTGGATATCACTGGTTTGTTTTATGTTTTTATTTTTTCTCAAACGTTTGTGTGTAAGGAATGAAAAATGCAACCGCGACGATACTATTAGGTTGTCCGGAAATTAATGCCGGTTTTTGACCTCCGTCTTCAAAGCAACATATCTCAGCTCAAACTCAACATTTTCAGTAATTCAAAAAAGTGTTGGAAACTACGCATTCTTTCTTAACAAGAAGCATGCTGAACTAATGCACGAACTCTAAATATAGGAACCGTAGAAGCGCGGATATCGGCGAAGGTCTTCCCACCATGTCTGTTTTCAAATCTTTTTCTGCCCAAGAAGCTGTCGAGATGGCTGAAAAACAAAACTGGAGGTTGGTGAGGGTGAGATCCTGCGAGTGCACTGTGAAAAGCAAAGCTGGATAGGTTGATTCGTCCCTTTCTTACGAGGTCGTTTGTGCGACATGTGGCTGGGCGTCAACATGGAGAACGGTTCTTTTCCTTCTTCTGGTTAGAGGCCTTGCTCTTTACGGAGCATTACGTCGATGTTATGGACACATTGGTACTCTATCCAAAATCACCTGGGTTCAGAAAGCTGCGATGCATCATTACTCCGGAAGGCCACGAAACCATCAGCATGGTCCTCACCTTGTAGAAATTCTTTTGGAAAAAGTTTTTGATGTTCGTAGCTGTTAAGATTTTTGGAAAATTGCTCTATTCTATAGCGAAGGGTCCTATTTCCGTCGAGGATGACGAAAAGTTCCAGAGTCGGACATTTTTGTTGAGTAAAAAAAGTTGTGCCAAGATCCCTGCAAGGTGACTTTGCTGCTGCTCAGTCAGTTCATGCGGTACCCACTTGTCCAGCTTTCTTACCTTCCCAAGTACCTTCAGGCGCTCCGAAAATTTCAGTATGCTTGCTCAAGGTTATGCTGCTGGCTGTCGTACACTTGTTTGGAATCTTCTTCTGCCGGGTCTTCAGAAGGCCGCCGTCAAGAGGAGAATGTCGTCCGTAACCCCCCTCACTTCGAATCTAGATTCCCTACACTTGAAAGCTTCGGAGCCATTGAAGCAGTGTGCATTTATTGCAGCATCCTTAGCCCCACACAGCAATCCTATTCCGAGCTGTCTGCACAGCACCCTCTCCAAATTTCAACTCATAGAAGTGAACTTGCTCAAACCACTGCTTTGACTTCTTCGATTCAAACCTTTAAAAAAAAGTGAGGCCCGAGTCCTTTCAAAATACAACAGCAGTGTAAGAAAGAGAATGAAATGGGCTTCTTAAAGATGTGCAACACAGCAATCGAGAAAAAATTTCTTGGAAAAATGTTTAATAAAGTATGATACATCGAAACCCGCATTAATTTTCGGACAACCTAATATGTTCCGCCCCAATAATTACAGCACAAAAACCGCACATGGAAGCGAAACGTGATGAAGTTCTGTGGATATCTGTATTGCATCGTAGCGACGGAGCAGATGCGAAACCTCTATTAGGATGACGCATGAGTAAAAAGTAAAAAGAGTGCGAACGTATGATTTTTAATGAGCTTTGAGATACGGTTAAGCACTCTTTAAAAAGCTCATGTCCTGTGCTTTTTCACTATAACAATTTGCACAAAAAAGGTGCAAACGGGAGAATAATAAAAACGATCACAAAAATGGTGGTTCTCCACAAATTTGGCAAAGGAAAATTTGCCTTTCTTGGTTTTTTGCAAGGAAAACATTTCACCTTTATTAATCTTTTTTTCGAATAATGGAGGCTAAATCATTTGGAAATTTGGGTTTTCCACTTCTTAACAAAAGCCCTTTCAGGCTTGTGAAGTATTTGTGACATTTTGGAAGCGAACGCCATGCACATTCAAATCTTAGTTAGAATAATTAGAAAACGTATGATTTTGGTCCCTTTGGAATATTCTTTTTCTTACCGCACCCCGTTCCTTCATCGCCTACATGAAACATGGCGCGCTCCTACTCTAAAATAGCAGCGGAAATTCGAGCTTTGTTACTTTGGCGAACTAGTCAGCGTTAGCTATTTTGACAACTCTGCACAAAAGGTCTAAACACCAACAAGAGGGGTCGCACCTGGACCCCATGGGGGGAGGTCGCAAACTTTTTGAAAAGTAACCCTACTTGAAAC